TCTTTTGACTGAAAGTGAAAAGTTGAAACGATTGCAGTGATAGAAAATTTAAGAATTAGAACTTTTTTAGTTACTTGCATCAATTACAGCTTTCTTCTTCTCTCTTTTTCTTTACTATTAGAAGGTCTTTGTCACATTGGCTTTTTTTTTTTTTTGTCATTATTTGTCAGCGCTGCTACCGCTGCTATTGCTGTTGTTGATGCTGATGCTACAATAATGCTTCTAATGCTACTGATGCTGTTGCAGTTGCAAAATGCAGTTGCAGTTAACTTCCAGTGAGCAGTTTGATTGTTGTTGCAAATGAAATGCCTAAATTACTCGCTTCTACAGTTGTATAAAGCCAAAAAAAAGAGAGTTTTTGAAGCTTTGAAGTTTTTTTAATAAGAGATTACCATAATAGATGTATTGTTTTTTTTTTTTTTCTCACTGCTACATCGAAAAATTTATTTTGGACTATCAAAAAGTTCTTTTTGCTGACTCGTTATACTTCTTTAATTAATTGGTTTTTTTCCCTTGTCGTACTTCACAGTTTCATGTTGTTTTAAGTCGTTAAAGCAAACGTTATTGCTTTTTTTTCTTTAATCAAATTGCTTAGCCAATTCATCATAGTTTAATGCTTGTCTATTTGCTTGTTGAATATTTAAACAATTCTTTGCTGTGATAGGTTTATGAAATAAATATACTGTTTCTAGTAGCAGTTATTTTGATTGGCGTGGTTGGTCAATTATGGACACTTTTAGTATTATTTCTGAATGTGGGGGTTCTCAATCGTAAACCTGATCATATTCTACTTGTTGAGGTCTAGATCTCTGGAATTACAGTTTGATCAGTGCTCTTCACTGATGCTATTAGGAATGATATGTTTCTTTTACATAGTTGTTTCTGATACGTTTTATGTGTATTAAACTTATTATTGTATGCGATCGAAAGATCTCAAGGGGGCTCAAAATAGTCAATTTTACTGATGTGAGATAATTTTTTTTCGTTGTTGTTTTTATAAATCATGGTATGTGGTGATGAAATTAAATATTTTTTGCAAGAGATAAAATTGTTACAGCGTTTTTAGTTCAAACGGGCTGATGTGGAAAGAGGAAAAGTCTCCAGATACTCGGAGTGTTGATGATAATGTTGAGGCTAGTGTCATTTTTGTTTTTTCAATCTTTTTTTGCTTCAACCTCTCAGTATGGCATATTCTGTGCTTTGACGCTTTATTAAATTCTTGTTTCTAATACCTAAAATTGAAGAACATTGTAGGTATGGTATTGTGGATTTACGTTCATTACGCTGAATAAAATTAGTTTTTTACTTTAGTCCGATAATAAATCAGATGACGTAGTTGTGCGGAGCGAAAATGGATCTCCTTCAAGGTCAGCCACTCATTCCCGATCTCATTCTCGTTCGCAGTCTCGTTCACGTTCTCGTTCGAGGTGGGTTTCCTCTCTAAATCAAAACATTTTTTCTACACTTTATGCGGATTTCCTTTATAAGGCAGTTGTCTAAGTCATACGCGTAGTTACCCACATTAAAGCCTGCTGTTGCTGCAGTTTTGACCGTATTGTGTGAGAATAATTAAGTGGCTGGTAATAGTGACGTTTTCGTGACTAAAGTGCTGGTTTCCCGTAGTTTATTTTGTAGGGGTCGACACAGAAAGCATTCCTCTTCTCTCACAGAGTCACATTTTAGGTCCTTCTGAAAAACGTTGACTTTTCTGTAGAGTGTATTTAGAAGCGCCACCGATAACTTGAGGCATTTATTTGGCGGGTATTTTTTTAAGGTCGAGGCGGGCGCGCTCTCGGTCTCGTCGAAGCAGACGCAACAGTGGTAGGTTCTCTCGGCGCGATGATCCTGAACCTTCACGTTGCCTTGGTGTCTTTGGTCTTTCTCTTTATACTACAGAACGTGATCTCAAGGTACGAATACAAATATATTTTTGAAACATTAATCTACAAAGTTTTCTTCATGCGCTTAAAGCATCATTTCTTCAGGAATTGTTTTCGCAGTACGGTGAAGTTGAAAATGTACAGCTTGTATTTGATCATCCTACCGGTCGGTCGCGTGGGTTTGGTTTTGTTTACTTTGAAAAACTCGAAGACGCAATGTTAGCAAAGGATCGTGTTGCTGGAACAGAAATTGATGGCCATAAGGTAAAATTATTTTTCTTTGTCAGAGCTATGTAATTTTTGATCCATTTCACAGTTTTTGGAAGTGAATTGAAATTCAGGTCCGTGTGGACTTTTCGATTACGAAGCGTGCCCACACTCCTACTCCAGGGATTTACATGGGTGCTCCAGACCAACGTCGATCAAGACGCTACCGACGAAGTCCTTCTTCGCGAAGAGGGTATCGAAGTCGCTATAGGAGTCCCCCCAGAGATTATTACAGGTTAAAAATGACATTTCTTTGAATAAAGGTCTCTAATTTTGGTTTTTAAGGAAGTTTTTGTGCCTTATTTGAACTTTATGTGCCCGTCGATGTTTGACTCTTTTTGAGTGTTTACATTTTTTTTTTTTTTTTTTTGTTTTTGCTTTTTTACCTTTATATGTGTTTGCGCAATGTAGTTTTCGTTTCCTAGCTCTTTTAGTCGTTGTTTAAAGGCTGAACCTTTTAATAAGTGGATCATCTTCCCTAAATGGTTTTAGATATCATGGGAATTATGATGACAGATATGACAGGTATTCTCCTTACCGCAGCACTGCATATTACAGGCGAAGTCCCTCACCCCGGTACTATGATGATCGTCGTAGGAGGCGGTCTAGATCTTATGACCGTGACAGGGAGTATTACTGAGAAGTTCCTAGACCTCATTCAGTTATGAAGATTTGTACTTGTCCGAATTTGCGTTTGATTTTAGTCTTTTGTACAGGAGAGGTTCATTTTGAAACTTATGTGTTTACCTTGGCATTGTTACTCCTCTATGGAAAGACTTTGCATGAGATTCTTAGAAATACCCATTTTTGGTTCCTATCATTGTTAAAAAGTTGTTTTTTCCTTTTTTTTT